ACATTTCTTATATAAGTTCTTCCAGGTTTCAGATTTTAAGTCTATTATTAATTCTTCACAGTCTATGGGTATGTATATACAATATCTTCAAGGTTGAGGGGTAGAGTTGATACTGCACTATAGTGATCAGTAATATCTATCTTTATAATTGTGATTTTCTTGTTTACTTCTTAAAAAAATGTGGTCAATACAATTACATGAGGAGCCAAGCACTCTAGTCGGAATATTCACAATTGAGGTGAAGTTTAGTATAGACAACACGTTAAGATATTCATGAACAAGCAAATTGTTACTGTCTAAGATGTTTATGTTGAAGTCTCCATTTAAAACGCAGAAATCTGTATTTATAACATGACCTTTTAAATAATATTTGAGATCGACTAAGTATTGTTTTATATCAGTTGAGAGTGGTCTGTAGAAAGATATTATTGAGATAACAATTTTATGTATATTTATCTTAGTAAGTACTCTTGTACACTCGGTGAACTGTATAGTGTCTGACGTAGAATTTAGGATTTCATTTATGTAGATGATAACACCATCATTTTGGTTAAAATGTGCATTGTTGTTGCACTTTATAATCATTTAGCTTGAAAAAACTAAAATCTGCAATATTCCAAGCTTCAGTTAAAATGATAACGTCGAATTTCTTATTAAAAGGATTTAAGTATATTTCCAATTCGTCAAAATTCTTTGATATACTTCTATTTTTTTGAAATATGCTAAATTTGTTTCTTCTGAAATATTATACTCTGAAGCATCATTCAGGATTTTGGTATTAAATTGTGGATAATTGATATCCCTGACGTACTGATCTATAACTTAGTAAGTACAAAACTATATAAAAGGTAGAATACCTGCCACGTTTCCGTTAATATCAAAATATCGAATGCGTCAGATAAAGAACAAGTGCAAACTTTTAGTGAATCTAAATTTTGATTAAGACTTCTTAAGTTTGTGTGGAAATTTTTTAAATGTATGTTTCCACTGGTCATTAGAGCATCTAATTGACTCATGTCTATATAATTCCTTTTTATTTTGTCAATCTTAAAATTAGTTATGTAATTGTCCATTGTAAAAAATGTATGTTTTTGGGAATGTTGCTTTACTTATTTTACTTTTTTATTTATTAGTTTTTTTTAGATTCAAAAATCGATTGAATCAAGATATTCAGACTGCATATATTTATAAGCATTTTTGATCTGTTGGTACATGGTCGGTGTTATAATTTTTTTTATATTTCTGATTAAAATATATGCAATTTGCACATCTATTTCCTTCAATGTTTCATTGGCGACTTGGCCCTCCACATCTGATGCACACTGTATTATTTCTACATTTATATGAAGTATGGTGAAATCTAAAAAACATTTGTTACATTATGTGATTTTTTTATGATCATATACATTCATAAATTTTGCCAATCTAATAATATTTTACCATTATTTTTATATGTGACGGATCTATATGTTTTTCCATTCACTTCTGCAAATAATGTATAATAATTTTTTAAGTGATTCTTTCTTATATAAGTAACTTTGATATCATTTTCTTGAATGAAATGATTTTGTCTAATATTAGTCTAATAATACTTTCCCTGAGGCTTGCTTCAGTAGGTGGTTCTTCACTTCTGTAGCCGACAATTTTGATTCTTGGTAGCTTCTTGTTTTGTTCTGTAACATTGTATTTTCTTGATAACTTTTTTTCGATTTCAATTTTCAGTGTATAGAGATATTTTTCTTCTAGTTTCAATTCGATTCCTCCTTTTTTAGTGTGTTTAATGTTGTCTACTTGTATTTTCAATTTCGATAGGTCAATCTTATTTTAAATCTTGTTTTGTTTCAAATATTGTTTGTTCTTTAGTAGGATTCACGCATAGTGTCTTTAGGGGCTTGTTGTATGTCTTAGATCTGGCTGTTACCTGGCTATACGATCGTTGGTTTATGCCATTCGCTTCAACAGCTTTGATTCTATCTTCCATATTTTCGATATAATGCATATTAGTCCTTTGTTCGTGATCTTCTTGTAGTCTTTTGATTTCTTTTTTTAATTGTAATATGTATTCTCCTTTTTCCAACAGTAAAACATTGTGTTGTTCAATTATTCTTTTTAGTTCCTTATTTTGAATTTTATTTTCGTCGACCAAGTTGATTTCATTACGGCTGTTACACGTAGTTTCAATAATTTCATCTTCACTTTCACTTTGATCATTGTTCAGGGTTTTATTTTTTGTTTTTTCTTACTTCTGGTCATCGATTTCTTCTTGATATGTAAGTCTTTCAAGCCACTCCCTGTATTGTGACTAGCCTTGAATGGGTACAGCTTTTAATGACAAAGTTGCCACAAATGTCAGATTTATGTGAAAATGTAATGGCAGAAATGTACTTTGTTATGGAATATCGGAGCTCCCAACAGAATTACCAGTCTAGCGGGTCTTCACTGTGCCATGGAGTTCGGCGATGGTATTTCAAAGGATCTTTTTATAATATTGAACATCGACTTGCAGTGATTTTTAAAAGGTATGTAGTATTAGAGTTATATATAATATATAGTATATACAGGGTGGCTCATCCATGTGTGGACGGAATATTACTTATAAACAAATACGTTCAATTTATGGCATGTTATACATGACATTTGAGGGAATATTTCTAAAATATTGGCAATTATACAGGGTGTCCCAATTTTGACCTACATATCAAAGCTGTGATTTCTTAGACGGAATGCGTCAAATTTTATTGCATATTTGGATAAACCAAGTCAAAAGAAGAAGATTGATATAACAAAATATGGGGTTTTGGTAATTAGCTACTGAGATGTAAGGTGTTTTATCCAGAAAAACCATCCACTTCGGCAACCCGTCAATCCGCCATTTTGAAATTGAGTGCTGAATTTTGTATCAAAAAAAACTTACACACCTCAGCTTTTATATTATTTGCTACTTTTTCGAATTTTCATTTTTGCGCATATAGGGTGGTCAAAAACGCGAATTGTACTTTTTCTCAAAAATGTCAAAAGCCTCACCCTGTATATTTGTGCAAGTTTGGATTCAATTTTTTATAATCTTTTTTTTGGTATAAGGTTTGGCTCGGATAAAATCACTAGATTTTGAGTTATTAAGTTTTAAATAGATCAACGCACCAAGATTAAGGAAACAAATCACATCATCCATGGAAACAAAAGACAAACAGTTAGCTAGTTCCATATTGCCACTAAGAGTACAGATTTGAAGCAGTGGCGGATCTAGAGGGGGTGCACGGGGGGCGCCCCCCCTAGACGTCTGACACTTGCTTTTGTAATCTAACATCATTGTGTTACTTTCTGACACATCATGACGACAGAGGCATACTAACTACCTTTCCCTCTTCGACATCACTTACGATTACACCACAATTCTTACGATTTATATATTCGAGTATATTCGAGTATTGTGACTTGTGACAAATCTCAGTCTGATCGATATATTAGCTATACAGATTGCACTTCAAAAGTGATTTATGCGCTGTTTGCTGCTCAATAGTAATTTGAAAAGTTTGTGAAGCTTGACTGATTTTGTTCGCGGTTGGTGTTGCAGCGAAGCACTATTATTCTAATCATATTAGATGAAAATACCCATGGTTGAGACCACACGTAAAATGATCCGACTAATAGCAAAAGCTTATGGCCGATGACCGAGGCAAACTGCAGGTTTTGGCACTTGTTGGTAATGCGTCGATAGTTTCTCGCAGATATTTGAGATTTTTCTAATTCGTAGGATTCTTACTTCTTAATAACCACAACAAAGCTGGAGTAGATTGGTCAAGTAGTTTTTGAGAATATCTAATTGTTTATCCCAAAACACCTGTTTTCTGGCCATCACTACTAGTTTATTGAGGAATATATACAGGGTTAGTTCAAAGGACATTTTATAGCAAAATACACTTGTTTACCTTGCCGATATGAATCGCAAACCATTCCGGAAGATAAATGTTATTTCTGTGCAAAAAAGATGAGTTATGTTTTTCTTTTAAACAAATTCAAACATTTCGTATTTGTGAGTAATTCGCAACAAAAGATGATAAACACATTCGCTTTGCTTTAAAATGTGTATAATAACGTATATATTTCAAATATCGTAGCGCATTTGTTCAATTACTCACAAATACGAAATATTTGAATTTGCTTAGGAGAAAAAACGTAACGTTTGTTTTTCGCATAAAAATAACATTTATCTTTCGGAATGGTTTGTGATTCTTATCGGCAAGGTAAACACGTGTATTTTGCTATTAAATGCTCTTTTAACTAACCCTGTATATATTGCTCAATAAACTAGTAGTGATTGCCGGGAAACAGGTGTTTTGGGATAAACAATTAGACATTCTCAAAAAACTACTTTACCAATAAACTCCAATTTTGCTGTTATTATGATAGAGAAAAGTTGGAAGAATCTCAAATATATGCGAGAAACCATCGTCGCATTACCAACAAGTACAAAACCTGCATTTTGCCTCGTTTTTCAGTCATAACATTTTTGCTATTAGTCGGATCTTTTTCGTGCGCTCTCATTTTGAAGGTCTCATAAATACCTAAAAATCTTATATGGAAAGTTTTTTCTTTCCTGTCAACATTTTCGATTGAATCCCAAAAAGCACGTTTTCTCATTCTTTGTTGTCAAATAAAAGAATTTTCTCTCAAAAATTAGTGTACCCATTTTATGCGTCTGTGTTTAAAATACCCGCTTGAACAACTTGAACCAATAAAACCAGACTTCACAACTATTTCGGGGAAATTTGTTAATATGATTTGAGTAGTATGTTGGATGAACGCCTAAATTGGAAATAGAGATTTAGGAGATTTGTTTAGCTTGTGGCCTGTCCAGAAAATGCGTCGATCGAATATCCCGCGTATGTTTCTATTTATGTTGCTATATTGAATTCGTTTAAATCACAGAGCTTGTGCACTACACTTGAATATGTACAGCCCTGTATTCCTGTACTTGTTTCGTACAAGCATTCATTATCAAAATAATTACGATCTACAAATATTCCTAGTTTTTTTCAAAGATATCCAACATTTTTACATGCGATCAACACCGATTCGAAAACTGAGGAAACAACAACTATGTCGTAAATCTAACTTCGACAACGAAAGTCAGAAGAATAACTGTAACATCTATTTTTTTTTTATACTCCAACTACCACGAAGGCCTAAGGCCTAAGCACCCATTGGGTACCGTGGGGCTATGGGGGATACATGGGAAAGGGGGGACGCCACACGGACTCTGGCGAGGGAACACGTGTGCATGCAACATGCACACATTCTGGCTCCGCCTACGAGAACCGCCGGGTGGTACCTCCGCGTTCGACAGTCAGAGACCATCTACCACCTACGACCTATATTGATTATCAAAATATATTTGACTATACTTATTCATATTTGTTTCACCTGATACAAAGTGCTTGATTGTGTCAGTATTTGCACCAATCACTTGATTTGTTCAATGGACAGTTCATAGTCTTTATCCTTAAGCTTAGTACACACTAGTAGACCCCGTTGCGCAATTTGTCTATAGACAGTCTGGAGACGGTCTCAAGACACGATCTATAGACATCCTTCTTTGTCTCGTCTAGCGTCCATACGATAATGTGAATGTGAATTTTCGGTTTCATGTTCGATTTCACCATCAGACATTGTTTTGTGTGACACGTACTTCTTTTGTTCTCATATAATTGCATTACTGAGGATTACTGAGAATTTTCCATGTTTTTTTTTTAAGCTGGCATTGACCAGATAGAACACAATGGATTTAATCTAAGCTACTCAGCCAACATCATTAGAAGTCCTGCGACAAAGAATTGTGAATGAGTGCCTTCAAATTACTCCTCAAATATTGCAAAATGTGCGGCAATGTTTTGAGCAAAATCTTTATTATTTCATGGAGAGTCATGGTGGCCATTTTCAACATTTACTTGCCTAACGGGTCAGTTCATACTTCATTTTTAAATTACTTTGCTGCCAAATGTATTGATCTCCACTAATGATGATGTATTAGTTTTATTTAAGCTTTAAATCAATACATCTTCAAAACTACTGAACTGAAGTACATTAATTTTATATCATTATTGGGGAATTGAAAGACCTTTAAAATAAGGTATCACTCGACCCCCCTTTCCATTCAAGATTTTGTGGGTGGTGTCACCCCCGCTTAGGGGTGATTTTTTGCCAAACTTGTGTCTCCCACGAAAACAAAATCGACGGGTCTGAGCGTTTTTCCAAAAAAAAACTGAGCTGCCAGTAAATGCGCCTGTTTCGCTTTCGATGCTCCACCCTCTATAAGTTCCTCTGAAGTTGAAAAATTACCAGCCCCAAATATCGTTTGCGCCCCTGCCCTAGACGAAATCCTAAATCCGCCCTTGATTTGACGTAAAAACTAATAACAATCAGAACAGTATAAATCAGCTTCAAGCGGAATAGAGAAAAACAACTATAACAACAACATAAACAAACAACTATCACTACTCAAGACCTAATCTACAAAAACTGCTAGAAAATATCTCCAACATGTTGAATACACAGCCGTAGTCTTTGGATAAATGACTGTTGCACAACCCTCAGCATGTGTTTTCTTATGTTGAGAAAAGCATCCTTAATATTTTCTGGTGTAGTTGGTGGATATCTATAAACCTCTTGCTTAACGTAGCCCCATAGAAAGAAGTCCATCGGTGTCATATCTGGTGATCTAGGAGGCCAAGATCTAGGCCCATCACGACCGATCCAACGATTATTACTCCAGGTGTCCAAATAGTTACGTACACGATTATGATAACGCGCAGGGGTGCCGTCATGTTGGAAGTGCATATGCATCCGAGTTTGCAGGTTGTCATCCTCCAAAAGCAAAGGCAAATGCTTGATCAAAAAATTCAAGTATTCTGTACCTGATAATCTGTTGTCCAAACATTCAAGCTCCATTTATTTTGGAAATCTGTTTGCCTAACCCAATAAGAGTTTTCCGTCGCATAACAGTGCATGTTATGCCTGTTGACAACACCTATGCTATTAAAAGTTGTCAAAAAGAACCTTATCCAGGAAAGTAGTGTCTTCACTCACTTTATTGTGCGATATTTTACTAAACTTCATTCGAGTTGCGAAACCCTGAGAAACATTCATTTTCAAACACGTTTTTATTATAATGCTCACAAAGCTAATTTTGACAGTTTGTAACTTATCAACAACTTATTTGTTTCCAAGGATGATGCGATATTTTAGGGAAATAAGCCGTTCCATAAAAGACATGCTAATAACCGAAAAAATAGCCGTAAAAACACTTATGTGTCTAGTATCAAAAAAGCTTATAAAAATTGAATCCAAACTTGCACAAATATACAGGGTGATACATTTGAAATTTTTGAGAAAAGCAACAACTTGCGTTTTTGACCCTGTATGAGCAAAAATTAAAATTCGAAAAAGTAACAAATAAGATGAAAACTGAGGTGTGTAAGTTTTGTTTGATACAAAATTCAGCACCCCAAAAATGACGGACTGAGAGGTTGCCGAAGTGGGGGGTTTTTCTAGACAAAATACCTTATATCTTAGTAGCTAATTACCAAAACCCCATAGTATGCTACATCAATTTTTATCATTTGAATTGATTTATCCAAATATGCAATTTGACGCATTCCATTTGAAAAATCACAACTTTGATATGTAGGTCGAAATTGAGACACCCTGTATAATGGCCAATACATTAGAAATGTGCCCTCAAATGTCATGTATACCATCCCATTGATTGATTTCCCCAAAATGTATTTGTTTATGAGTAATATTCCGTCCACACATGGATGGGCCACCCTGTTTATAATATATATATATATATATAAAACAAAAAAGAAATATATATAGGGCAAGTACGAACAGAATGACAGGGTGTTTTGTTTTTTAATCATATTTCTTTATTTAACGTAATTATAAGCAGCCCCTTTAATTTTTACTCATCTTAGGTTCATTGACTATCATCATTACACTCTTTTAATTGAGTTGGAGCTAAAATGAAACATATATTAGAGAAGAAGATAACCAATTACGAAAACCATTTTGTCCATATAGTACGGACAAAATGACATACAAGGCAAGGACGTAATGATATACTAAAATTTTAAGAACACAGTTCAAAATAAATCGTTTGGTCTTTTTTGGGACATCACACTTCAGCACATGAAGCATGAGCCCAAAGAGAACAAATCATACATCGTAACCAACCTTCACCCGGCTTAGACCGGGAGAAGAGATCATTGCAGTAGATGCAAGCGCAGTCGCCATCGTCGTCTTCTGTCTCGTATATAAAATCTTCACTTCCTGAGCTATCATCTACCAGAGCAGTTATATGCTGTCTTGATGTTCTCAATCTCCTGTCTGATGGTAGATCATTTTTGGAAGTAGGAATACAGGTTTTTTCATCATTTTCAAAAAATATTCTTTTAACATGTCCCTTCTTTTCAGTCGATGGATCTTTTGGTTTGTTTTTAGCTATAACCTCTTGCATGTTTGGAGTAGAAGTTAAAAGCCAATCACCTGTGACAGCTGTCGATTTTCTTTTTCCTTGTCCTCGGATGTATTGCCCTTGAGGTGCTGGCGAAATAGTTGCAACTGAATATGTTACTGATTGCTTTGGAGTACCAGACCTCACACTGTCATTGTATGCTGCTCCAACCACTTCAGCAATATTTGACTTGTTTACGTTTGTTTCTAAGTCTAGGTTCATCCCATCAGAAACAACAAGTCCAATGTCAGCTAAGGTAGTTGCTTTTGTTGTGTGTGAAGAATCGTCATTTGTTGCTGATGGATCGAAATTAGAGCAACATCGATATTCGGGTATTCTTGGTTTAAAGAAATATTGATACATTCAGCTGATTCAACGGAATATTTGTGGTTTCAGCAGGTTCAAACATGTAGTCTGGAAAAATATCAGGATTGACAGGCCAGATTCCTGTCTTTTTAAAACCGTTACTTGCATTTTGAAGTGTTGCAGCCTTTCCATATGCTTCGTTAAATAAACCCCCGATTCGTAAATGGGTAACGACGCGCCCTGGATGATTTTTTAGCGATTTAGAAATTTCTTGATTGAAATTAGTTTTAAGTGGTCCATGAATACTGACATCCAAGGGTTGCATTCTATGAGTGGAATGTGGGGGTAAACACAACATATGAATTCGATGCTTTTATGACTAGAGTGGTCATCGCAAATAAGGAGAACCAGGTCATCCTTACTAGATTTTGTATGTGCGTGAAAGTGTTTTAACGATTTTACAAACACCTCTTTGTTCATCCATCCTGATTCCTGTACTAGCCCAAGAGTGATTGTCCGAGCTTCATCAACTAGTTCATTTTTTAGGTTCTTCCTAGGAAATATACATGGTCGAATAAATGAACCGATAGCATTCGGACAACACACTACTGTCACATTTGAACCTCTCTCAGCACTGGTGAGACAGCCGACTTGTTTCTTGCCTTTAATAGCTAAATTTTTTTGTGGTTTCTGGACTGTAGTGAGCCCGGTTTCATCCATATTATATATTCGGTGAGGCCCCAAATTGTGAGTCTTCAAAAACTCTTCATAAATACGAAAAAATTTAGCTACCTGTGGTTTATTAAACGCTTGCGCTCTAGCAGCAGAAGTTGGTTCTCGGGGCGCGCAGAGAAATGTCCTTGTTTCTCTTCAAGAAGCCTTCGAGCCACTCTCGTCCAGCACGTTTCTTTTCCTCGTTGAAAGGGTGATATACCATTTTTTTCAGCTAGGTCAAAGGCAAGTTCTTGGAGTGAAGTAAGTACGTGTCAAACCAAAAAGTCGTGTTTGTAAAAACTTTGTGTTCTACTAACTCCTTCTCAATTTCAGTTGAAAATATTTTCTTGAATCTTCCTAATCCTTTGCAGTTAGAGTTTCAGGTTTTGTTCATATTGAGTGCATGTCTTCTAAGGGTCGCCTGAGGAACACTAAATGTTTTTGCTGCCAATTCGCATCCTATTTTGTTGCTTCCATGTTTAATTGCCTTACTCATAGATTCTTGACTCCAAGACTGTCGATTAGTTTTTCTTTCGTAGTTTCGCGGCATTTCAGCTAAAAAAATGATACATGTTAATTAACAGAAACTATACGGACAAAATGGCATAATGCCGTTTTGACCAATGTATATGTATGTCGTTTTGTCCAGATATGAACATAAA